AACGTATAATATAATAAAATTAAAATAAATGCATAGCTATTTCCCTTCTAATATGGAAATAATCTGTCAGAACTTAATTATTCCCAGAGTTTCCTTACAATCTTAACTAAAGTTTTTAAGGATTTATCAGCTAATAGGAAAAATGTACTCTCTTCCATAGAACATCTGGAGTGATTTACAAGGAGGGGTGATACTCAGAGTGCCATGAATCAGTGGATGGCTCAGCCGAACATGAGACATGATACAATGACACCCTTTACACAGGGACAGATTTGGTTTTGGAAGGGGAAGTTACTCTACTTTCCTTCCAGAATCCTGATGGTAAAGCATTACATCTGGTGAGATTAAATGTTCTTTTGTGAGAAACAGAGAGAATGTTATATAAATACTTAGGAAAAGAAAAGGACCTGTCCCAAAGACTAAAGATATGATGGTGAGAAATGCTCCTGTCCTTTAGGAAGTCTAAGTTCAGAATATGTTGCTGGACCTCTTGTAAAGCCCTCTCAGACCCTCGTGTTATAAAGAATTCAATTAAAAATCCAGAATAGATCAAGTCTGAAGCTCTGCTGTTTTTCCGAGGGGAACCAAGTTTGTTGACAAGGATTTACTGGGTTAAAAAGTTTAACCAGAAATTAATTTTAGCCAGCATTTCAGTTGGCAAATCCTCCTGCAAGCATCTATTGATATATAATCTAGCTCCAGCCTTAAGTCTGAAATGCGGTAAGGACCACGAAGCATTGCTTAGGGAGGCTACAGACAAATGTAGTTAATAGATCCTAAAGAACAATGTCTCTTGTTTTAAAGGATAACATTGTTTTAGATTATGCATAATTTTTTGGACTCTTGCACATTTTACACTGTTTTGATTCTATCTCTTTTGTCTTGAATTGTTAATTCACAACTTCTTTTCAGAAAATCAGTTTATGACTTCATTGAGCCTTTGCATTCCAGTGTCTTCTGTATTTGTTCTTTTTTTCAGTTAATGTTATGTTGGTTTATTTTCCTATAAAATAGGTGATAAGTCTGTCCAGTATAAATTTGGAAAACATACTGAAGCTTTCATGGGTATTGTCTGTTTAATCAGAAACATGTTCCTTGTGGCTTCAGTCCATGTAAATGCTTCATAATGAGTTGGGACATGGCATTTATAAGTTGCTCCTTATTCAGTTTCTGTTGTCCTTGAGAAATAATGCTGTTCGCTAATTAAAAATAAACAAGAAAGAAAAGCAGTAATTGAAATCGTATGGACAGAGCAAAGTCATTAACTGGAATTTTCTAATTAAAGGGACAGTTGTGTGCATATTTGTATAAAGAAACTTACTTCTGAGGAGCTTTGCAATAGCAATGGACACTGTATGATAGTGTAGTATATATTAAATACAGATAAAATGTCATTTCCAACTGATTTTGAAAAGTGATGTCTCTGCAGAGCTAAACAAACATAATATCAAAGCAATCCCTGTATGGTATGCCTATTTATGAGTGATATGTAATCAATCACTTGATACAGAAATCAGATGAATCACTTGTAATTTGAAAGTACATTTGGTCAATACTAAAATTTGGCTTGATCCACACAGGGCTAGAAAACCCAACATTTTCATTCTATATACAACCATAGAAAATAACTTAAAATCTGCTTAAAGATATCTTGTTAATGGATTAAGATGATATGAGCTTGATTCAGTAATTAAAACCTGATAAAGGTAGGTGCACCGGATCTGGGCTGCAAAAAATTAGGGTGGATGTGAGATGTCAGTAAAGAAATAAAGAACATTATAACTCTTTGCTGTTATCTATTGATTGTCCAGATTTTTGTAATACAGATAAGGTAGCACTAGATTAAGAATACCTATGATTTTTTTCATATTAAAGAATAAAGTCATTATGTTAAATTATAAAATAGTACTGGCAATGTTGATACTAATGTATTTTGATAAATTCTTTTACCTAGTGTACAGTGCTACTATATTATGGTTTTTTAAAAGCCTTGTAGAGATGATAAGGCTTTCAACCAAACCTGAGTTACAGCTTAATGCCATTAATAGATTTTGTGCTTTTTATATTTTGAGCTCCTTAGTTTTATAATACCTTTTATTTCATGGTTTGTTCATTCATTCATTCATTCATTCATTCATTCATTCATTCATTCAATTTATAGCTGCAATAATCAGAGTCAACTCCCAACTCCCATTGTTTACAAACAATTAAAAACAGACATACGATAAAAGGTTTGCAATAAAAAGCAAAAAACAAAAACTAACCAACAAAAAACAGCAGTCACATGAACAAGCCTGATACCAAACCCAGCAAGAATTGGGTTTCACTGCTGTAC